TACTGGGCGATGTAACTATAGGGTATATAGAACCCAGTTCCCATTATTTAGGTAACTGGGAGCCCTAGGGTATATATATATATGTATATATCCCCGACCTCTGGGTGTCGCCACTGCTGACGGCTCTACATGCGCAATAGCTGGAATTCTGTGATGTGCTGGCAGTCATGGCGAAACCAGTGAGTTGTGGCCTTCGAGTGTCCCCGCGTATGTTGAACCAACTGGCCCATTACGTCGTAGACTGACTTTGTTGACAACATGTTTCATATGTATCCATCGGTGTGCTTTTCCAACGTTTTGAAGCGACCCATCGTGAATGAAGGAATGCGAAAGAACGTGGAAACTGCCGACTACTATAAGGATCCATCCCTCCATAAACCCTAAACCCTTAATGGGTTACTATAAGCATCCCTTGCTTCATTCCTAGCTGATCCGACCCTCTATTTCTCAACCTGCAGACTGATAGAGGATCTTTTGATTTAGCCACAGGATACTGATCCCAGTCGTCACATGAAGATGATGATGACCACGGTGATACCCTAGGGATCCAAGTATACAAGTAATACCAAAAAACAGAGAACCAAATGGACGAGAACAAGGAAACTTACATGGAAACTGGGAATATATGAGGTTGTATTCGGATCCACGTGTACAAATAATACCTACAGTGGGCCCCAAAGTCTGCAAATATTACCTACATTGGGCAGTTTGGATCCCTAAACCCGAATCCCTAAACTCCTCAACCCTAAACCCTAATCCCTAAACTCCTCAACCCTAAACCCTAATCCCTAAACTCCTCAACCCTAAACCCAAACACCCCACAGACCTTAGGATCCTTAGCCACTTACATTGGGCCATTTGGATCCCTACTTGGAGGCCCATGGGACTTAGTCACTACTTATAGCTGGGATTATAACCCTCCTTCTAATTGGGGTACCCCCCCCCCCCCCTCCCAGCGCTATTTATGGGGATTATACATAAAGTTATAAGCCCAGTTATAAGTAGTTAGTAAGTCCCATGAGCCTCCAAGCTGAGATAGTAGCAGTGGCAACCATTGGGATGGCCACAGCTGACAGATGAGAGTCAGAATCCCCTACAGTCCCAGACCCTCTAAAGGATCCCAAAAATGGGAACCCCCCTAAGAATCCCCTAGTTTCCCAATGTAGGCAAGGGTTTATCCTGATTCTGATGACGATGGGGTTGTAGGGTTTAGGGCTTAGGGTTTTGGGTTTAGAGGAGTACGCCCGAAAATCCTATACCAGCTTCTCTTAGGCCAGGAACATGTGCCAGCTGCTACTGACATCATGACAGACCGGACGCGCAGAGATGTTGGGGCAAGCAGTGACTCCATGTCCTCGCTATCCGCGCTCCTGAGCTCTTACCAGTTAAGGGTTTTAGAGCTGACTCAACTTACTAGTTTTCAGTCAGGAATACGGAATATATTCCCCATATAACCCCTATTATAGCCCTATTCCGTACTAAGAACCGCTAGGTTAAGGGTTTTAGAGCTGCCTTAAGGGAATTTTCAACTGGGGAGTTACCAGGTCGGAAGGCTTTTTGTTAAGGCTTCTCTGGGCCAAGCTACCCAAAGGAAATTTCCTGTGTTTGGGGGTTTCAGGGTTTAAGGCACTTCTGGCTGTACCCCACCTAAATAGCCATCCAAATCCTCACAACTGAAGCAGAACAAATGCTGAAAAAGGCCTTGGCTCACTGTGCGCTTCAGCTCCAGGTCGTCCTGTCTGGGGTTTAGGATTTAGGTAACAGTTACAGACAAATAGCGTACATCAGTTACATGGTTGATGGAGGAACCCTCAACCCTTAACTCTAAACCGCCGTGGTGCCTTCATTACTTCAATGCCTAGGAATTATCCTTCATCACTGTAATGCCTAGGAACTATGGGACTTAGAGAGGTGCAGGATTCCTTCCATCAACAGGGTTTAGGGTTTAGGATTAGTACTACTACTTGAAACCAGAAGACGTCGCGACGGCAACCAGAAGAAGATGAGGATATGCCAAATGACACAGGAACAGGCTCTAGGTTTTGGGCTTCAATTTTGGAGTTCTTTCCATTTTTTTCGAAGCAAGTTACTGCGCCAGCAGGTGCTTCACAGGCCCTAGCCCTGGCCCGTCAGTCTCTGACGCAAAGTTGCCCATCAACCATGCCAGAACTTACCTCGATAGATATAGTATGAAACACTAGGGTTGTTCAATAATATCAAAGCTTGCGGCTACTGCAGGGCATTGCCATCGGATAGCTCGAGCACTTCTGCTTGTGAGGCCTCCTTGCGACCTGAGATGCGCCGAGAGTCCTCGTTAATTAAGAAGGGCGCAGAGTTTCCTCAAGAAATTTGGAATACACCTTGAACTAAATTGTAACATTGTTGCTATGATTTCCGGCCTATTCCTAAAATCAAGTCTGTTTGCTGCCCAGCCTAAACCCCAAGTCACTTCTAAGCTTCAAAGCCCTAAACCCTAAACGCGCCGGCAACAGCGCCTGGACCCGCTGCAAGTCAGAGGATCTCGTGATTTCTTGCCAATCCTTTCTTTTCTGTAGTCATCCACAAGTGATCAGCTTCTGGATAATCATCTCATGACCGCTTGGAAAAATAAAAAAAACGTAAACCCAAAACCCTAAACCCCTAAACCCTAAACCCCAATATTCCTGGAGTGAAGAGGTTGGTTCAACTCTGCCTTGCCCCTGACCACGTAAATTCCAGAACCCAAAGCTCCAAATCCGCAGCTAATATGGAGTTTCCCCAAAATTAAGGGTACCTTTTCGGGGGTCCCTATCATGAGGACTATAATGATTTGGGGTACTGGGGTCCCACATTTTGGGAAACTACCATATTCCCTGAACCGTGAGTATCTCAAAGCCTGAAAACCACAAGGCTCAAGCCCTCGATGTAGCTTCAATCGCCTTCTCCATTCCTGTATGTACCCCTATGCAACCCTCAAACCCTAAACCTTCAACCTTAATGCCCAAACCCCTACCGTCAAAAACGGCCTGCCTCGTCCTCAGAGGCTGACGAGCTGTCATCATCGCACAAAGCACCTGGGAGTGTCCTTTAGGTTTAGAGCTTCAGTGTGAAAAGCTAAGGGTTCTACAGCACACTGGCGCTTAGCACGGAACAAGGGAATATGATCCTTATAGAACCCCTAAATACTGCATTCGCATATTCCCTACTAAGCCCCGGTAAGAAAGTTTAGGGCCTCAGACCTGGAATGTAGCCTGAACATTCTACTTTGATGGTTTCATGTTTGGAGTCGCGCATTTGAGGGTTTGCAGGTCAGGACCTGATGTTTTCAGATTACGGCTTAAGAATTTTACATCAGGGGCCAGAGTTAGGAGTTTTAGTGTTTGGGGGTTTCCCTAAGCCCTAAACCCTAAACGCAACTGCGTTAAGAGCATACAGCCTTGCAGGTCAGGGCGCTACCTGTCACCTTTCGGGTTTCAGGCTTGGCTGCAGGTCAAGCTTGAAGGCGTCAAGTCAGGCTTTCAGGTCTGGAGCTCAAGGCTTCATGTTTGAAGTTTGGGGCTCGGAGGGCTGGGAATTGCGGGTTCAGGTTGGAAGTTTAAGGCTTAGGGTGACCGAACGTTCAAACCGCAATAAAAGGGCCTGTGCCAGTGCATCATGCCTACGGCTTTAATATAAGAACAGCTTGCGGCAGGAGAAGTCACTGACTAGTCTGACGCATTATAATGAAGATGATCTTCTGAACGAGTTGTTGAGGAGTAGAACAACACAAGGTGACGAACGCATTGCGAACCCTACTAAGCCCTAGACCCTGGACCCCGCAGAAAGGGTCCGACCTGGATGTTTCTTCGCACTCGACTTTTGTGCTAGAACCACACCTTCCACAGGGTGCCGATGTTGAAGGTAGGCTTCAGGACTCTTGCTGGAAAGTTAAGAGGAATTCAGGAATGGAAAAAAAGTACTACCAGATCATTTGGAACTATATGAGCTACAGCCAAGATTTGCCACATGATCTAACGGACATGGATTTCGTATTAGGGACCAGAAAAGCAACTGTGCTAAACGCCCTCATCCATAATCCCTAAACTCTCTAAACTTTAACCCTAATCCCATAACTATAAGGATTCATCCCGCCATTCCCTACTCAGAGCCGGCACGGATGAGGGTAAGGAGTATAGGGCTTTTCGAAGAGCTAGTAACTTACGCTTTGGGGTGTAGTTTTTGCGGTCCAGGGTGAGCGCCATCACGGTAGAAGTTTCGAGGACATGAACTGGTCCCCTCCCTTATCAATCCAGAGGGGCAGGGGTATCTTTTGCACTTTCCCTTAATTGGGGGACCCTGATATAGACCGCAGGATACCGTAATAATCCTTATTGCAGGGACCCCCACACAGGTGCCCCTGATTTTGGGGAAATCCCGATTTTGGACTATCACCCCCAGTTCCAGTTGTTGCTCGAAGCCCCCTAAACCCTTGTGTTTAAGGTTTTGCCCTTAAACCCTAAACCCTTAAACCCTAAACCCTAAAGCCTTGCGTTTAGGGTTTCGCGCTTTTGCCCAAACCCCACCAGCCAAGATGAAGACGAAGCCAACATAGGTTTGAGGCTTCAGGTGCTCGTGGAAGTATACCTTGCTATCCTACTGTTGATGGAAGAAATCTTGCACCACCTTAAGTCCCGAAAGTCCTAGGAATTACAGTAGTTTAAGGCCCCTAGGTGGTGCAAGATTTCATCCATCAACAGTATCCTAGAAACCCTAAACCCTAAATCCTAAACCCTGAACCATGTGGGGTTTAGATTTCTGGGTCTAGGATTTAGGGCTTAGTGCTTAGGGATTTAGGATGTAGGGTATAAGATTTAGGGTTTAGGGTTCAGGGTTCAGGGTGTTGGGAATGAAGCCTAGGATTCAGGATTCAGCATGCTATATCTAACTTCATTGGGGCAAATGGCCCCTGAGGGTGTTGTATGGATACACCGGAACAAACAGATGATTTCTAGCCACGAGACGGCTATGATGATCGCGCTGGCCATGGTATACGTACCATTCTCGATCCTGGGAGCCCCACTCCCAAACCACTGAGTTTAGGGCTTGAGGGCGTAAAGTCTACAGGGAAAATTTCAGAAAGACCTCAGGTTGTCATACATGTAGAGATAAGACCCTGAACCCGAAGCCCTAAACCCTTAACCCTAAGCCCTTAACCCTTAAACTCTAAACCCTGAACAAGGTCTGACACACCTCCCCCCTTTCTATGATTCAACTCATGCAGGGTGGCATTGGTCCTAGGCAAGGCCCAAATCCCACTCACGTTCTCGAAGATTTGAAGTCTTTGGATGCATGGATTTAAAGCTTAGATATACCTTGGGTCCTGCCGAATTAGGTGTCTATAATAGGAGTCATATTGAGGGCTCTAGGTGGTTATACTACAAATGCTATCAAGCTGTTGCTGAGTGGGGGCAGTTTCCAAGGTTGAGGATCTACGGGTCCGGGGCTTACCAGCTTCAGGACTTAGAGCTTCTACCCTAAACCCTAAGCCTGAAACCTTAAGCCCTAAACCCCAAGCCAAGCCCCAGGATCATTGAGACCAGCGCGCTGGAAGATCCAGCTGACCAAGCGAAAGCCAGGGTACCCAGCAATCCGCCTGGGGGTCTAGGGTTTAATGTTGCACCCGCTTATGC